TGCCAAATGTGTTGAGCAACCACTGACGAGTTCATTTGTCCTTGTCTTAGGGATCTTTCATATTCTTTGAGCGTAATTGATATTTTTCGTCCGATCTGTCCAATGCATTGTTTGCTACATATGCACAGATTGCTGTAAAGACCTGGCGTCTCAAATGGAATTTTCGGAGAAGTGGTAAATGGGGTTTTGACGTTTTCTTAAGAACTTTTGATATATGGTTAGTGATATTTTGAATGTAAGGAGGGACAACAGTATCAAGTGTTGGGTTGCTTTCCGACTCATTGCCTTTGGAAGGTTGCGGGAAGGTGTATTTTGTGATTGAGCGCTTAATATCTTTAATGTGGAAATTATTACAAAAAAGAGCAGGAGTAAGGTGTTTTAATTCTGGGTTTAGTGACTCGGGATCGGCTCTGTAAACACGAGAGTTGAGAAACGATTATTTTTGGGCCAAATGGTGATGTGACAATGCATTAAGGTATCGGCGTGTGCACGTAGGTTTTCTGTCAAGTCTGATTTTCTATTGATAAGAATATCTAAATATGGGAGATTATTATTTGTTTCTATTTCAATGGTAAAACGTATGTTAAGGTGTATGGAGTTTAAATGTCTAAGTAAATCTAGACTATGAGACCAAATAAGAGAAGTATCATCGACGTAGCGTTACCACAATTTTGGTTTTACATGGAAGGTGTCGAGAGATTTCTTCTGAAATGCTTCCATAAATACATTAGCGGTGACTGGTGATAATGGAGAACTCATATCTGTTCCCGACGTTTAATATTTGAAAAATGCTTGTCTGGAACATATCTTTCTCATAACGGTAAAATTGCTATTTCAACCGCCTGAGAACAGCACTCCTAAAGCCGAACTTCTGAATTGTTATAATATATTTGTTATATATTGTTATAATGTATTTGAAAATATATCGGACGGTTTTGATTTTGAGCTGGTCGGAGAGGTCGGTTAGTATATTTAGAAACATAAAAACTAAATCATTCGGCAGCGATATGATTAACATAACGCTCGTTTTGTTATGCTGTCCTGTGGTTGGCCCGTACATCACACATATTATTAATGAATGCATACATACATTTCCCACTGGCTTGGAAACATCCAGATGTTATCCCATTTCAAAAAACTAGGAATCCGTCCGAGCTCAGTCATCTTCGTTAGATCAGCATTCTTCCTACTTTCTCAAAAGTCATAGAAAGAGTAATAGAGAGGCAACTGAGACACCATGCCAGGGCTGATGAAAACAAAATCTCGGTATAAGTGTTACTAGATTTTAGTAAGGTATTTGACGTGCTTAATCATAAGCTTATGTTTGCTATCTTAAAGCTCTTAAAATCATTTCTATCTAAAATCGTTTCTTCAGGGGTGCCGCAGGGCAGCATCTTGGGTCCTCTTTTGTTTACTATTTATACTTATCAGTTTCACATGTCGCTAAATTATGTTGATTATCATCTTTATGCTGACGACACCCGACTATACACAACTTTCAATGACGACATTCACTAAAGTAATGAAATTATAAATTTTGATTTAAATAACTTCTATAATATTGCTACGGATCGTCTACTTAAAATTAATCCTACTAAATCAGCTGCTGTAATCGGAAACGATGTCTAACTTGAAAATTTAAAGTCAGCTCTAGTTAACAATCAACGATGCTCCCCGTCAATTCTATGGTTCCAGTAAATGCCTGGGATTATTCCTGGATTCTAAACGTCGTTTGCTTTAGCATAGAAATGAAAACTGAAAAAAGCTTATGGTACTTTAAAACTCATTTATTTTTATAGATACTATTAATCACGAGAGACAAAGAGGCTTGGCGACTCTTTGGTGTTGTCTCAGCTGAACCACTGTCCTAAGTATTTAAAGGCTTCGCCTTGAAGCATAAATAACGAATAAATGACGAATCTAGTTGGCTCAATATGCACAATAGATTCAAGGTGCATATGGCGTCTCTTTATTTCAAGATTATTAAAAATAAATCACCTCGCTACCTGTTTAATGAAATTTCCTTTAGAGCAAATTTCCATGGGCTTAATTTGCGTAACAGAAAGGAAGTATTTAAAAGGTCATATTCTTATAATATTGCTTTACAAGATCACTCCCGGCACTGGTCTGGTTTCTCAACTGTCAGCAGTAGTGTCTTGTAATACTTGTTCATTTTTGTTCAAATTTTCCTATTGCTCTCCCTTTATTCTTAGCTATTCCCTTTTCATTCCCTCTTAGATATTGCATGTTTATTTACTTGCTACATAAGGCTTATTCTTTGCTATCTGGAACAATGATTTTTCTTTTTAAATGAGACTTTAATGGTATCTGAGTTTTGCCTGGGTGGCTGCGATTGTAATGTATTGTAATTTTCCATGCTCTTTGCAACAAAGGTTATTATTATTATTATTATCATTATTAAATATAAGATAATTGCACTGAAAATACGTAAATTAATATAATTTCTATTTTTTAGTATTAGGGTCATGAATTTTCCTTATACACCCAAAAATAGTTTCGCATGAAGTCGTTTATTGTATCAAAAGTAAAAAAAAAATCAAAAACGCAAGCAAAATAATCCAGCCGATTTTCAAAATAAATAAGAAATAAAGGTTCAGATTTTCACGAAATTATTATCTGTTAAAAATATATCTTTCCAACTTTAGGGTTAAAAAAGGACCAATTAAGTTACTTTCAACAATACAGATCCACATATTTAAAAAATGTTCCTGATGGTGACATTGCACGTAAGCATGGTGATTTTCGTCACTCCATAGAAAAGTAATTAACAATACACTTAATAATTTTAATCCCTTAGGGTTAAATTAGCCTCTTAATACACCAAATAACACTGCTAAATTTCGATAGAATGTAGTGAATATTTGTTTAAATATCTATAAATATGTATATTTTTTATTTTAATATATCTGTAATGTATCTTGAAAACTCTGCATTACCGGAATTATATTTATAAACGCTTTTTTAAAATATTTTTACCAGGAATCGTCCTCTAAAATATCTCCCTTTATTTTCGAAAACCCTGTGTGTATAAATAAATAATAAATAATCTATTTTGCAACGAAATTTTTTTTTTTTTGTACATTTTAAAAATGTGATAATATATAGGGAATTCAAATAAAAAAAATAAGTTGATGTGTGGTTCAAGTAGATGTGACAACGCTGTAATATCTTAAATGTTTCGAAAATAGAGCCTGCTAGGGCCCAAAACCAATTTTTATAGGCTTATTTTTATCCATTCTCCATATACTTGACGTATTACCTTTTTGCAATGACGTCACACTGATTTGAAATAGCGTATTTCTCATATTATTTAAATTTAAGCAATCACTCCTAACCTAGATGTATACAGTGATGCGGATAAGAGGGTTGCCTTCAGCTCTGGCGAAAGCTAATATAAAATTGCATTTTCCGTTTGCATTTTAACTTCTCGAAAATGGCTGGCACGTGCCGTTAAAAATTTTCCTGAATCCAAACCAGTTTTGGAGGTGCTCGAAAGTGTCACCGGAATTGTTCCAAAAGGATTTTATAACCTCAAAAACGAAATTTTCTTTGCAAATAAGGTCACAAGGCCTTAATATAAATGCTTGAATCTGTGCTTTATTCCTTGTTTGCAATATAACAAATTGACGCCAGTTATCCATTTTTATCAATATTATTTCAATTTTCAATTCAATTCACAGACAAGACTTTAAACAAAATTACTCCGCTTCACTGTCTTCAGAATCAGAACTAATTTCGAAGATATCTTCAACATTGTTGTCGTCTGATGGCTTCAAGAAATTTATTCTTTTGTGGACGATGTGATATAAATCCATCAGGTATTTTCTATTATTTAATTTCTTCCACGTAAAACCAAACGTAGCGAGTTGAGCGAAAAATTAAAATGTTTTTTATGCAAAGTCTGTATTGAAACATTGCATAAAAAACATTTTAATTTTTCGATCACCTCGCTAAAAAAATACGTACGTATACGCATTGGTTTTAGGTGGAAGAAATCAAATAATAGAAAATACCTGACGAATTTATCTCACATCGTCTACAAGAGAATCAATTTCTTGAGAGAATATATCAAAAATGAAATCAAATCAAAAGCAAGGAAGAAGTGAAAACAAAAAAATTGAAATTACTTTACAAAATGGATGTATTGTAACATATCCATTTTTTTAAAGTAATCTCTATTTTTTGTTTTCACCTCTTGCTTGCTTTTGAGACATCTGGGGGTAAACCATTCCGTTCGTTATTCCTCTTTTCTTAATATTGATGATTGTTGTATGGCTGCGTTGGGTTTCATTTGAAGCAATTACATTATCAATTTGCCATAGGATTCCATTTTTGGCTTGACCTTTTTCTTATTGAAAGAAAGCCAAGATATCTTCGCGGTATTTTGCACAAGTTGATGGTAAAAACAAATCAATGTTAATTTTGATGAATATATTCTGAAAGACGTAACTAAAAAATGTTCTTGTCTGTCATTTGGCATAGATTGAACAAAAATAACCAAAAATGATGTCATTCCAGAAAACTATAATAGGCCATCGGCTTGGGGTTGCAAAATACAGAGGGCTCCAAAAAAATGTATCCACTGTTTAAAAGTCGATAACTTGTGTAAGTTCATCCAATGTGGCTTTTGTCGATAAGCGACGTCTTTTAGTGTTCTCCGCAGGTAAAAGTCCAGAGGAGTTAAGGACGTATGAACTTCGATAATCCATCGTACATTCATGTGCAAATATCCAACTGAACACGTTGCGTCAGTAGTTCGTGCTGCTGTTCAGCGGCATTGTTTGTGTGTCTACAATAATGGTGACCATTTCGAACACCTAAAGTGATATCTTTAAGTTGGATCTCTCAGCAAAGCTAGGTTACATTTTCAGGAAAAATGAGTCAACTCCGTGAATTAGTTTGCAAGTTGTGGACTTTTAAACAGTGGATACATTTTTTTTTACCTCTTCGTATACGGGAATAGCCTGTGTATGTTTTAGTACAGGGGTAAACTAAGATGGATTACGGATAAAGATTTGGGCGCGTTATGGAAGAATAACGTATTAAAATCGCCCGAGATTCTGGAGCTTTATCGACAGGCCAGAGGTTTCGAACCAGATCCCCGGACCAAAGTGGAAGCGGTGGAAGAGATTTTGACGGCGAACAATATTTCCGAAATGACCGAAGACATCTTGGTATCGGGAAAAACCACCAGTTTTCAGCAGCTCGTCGATTCCTCGGGAATCGATAAGTTAGGTACCTAGCCCAAAAAAAAATCGCGAATAATCTGAAGTTTTGCATTGCTTTCCAGCTCAGGAAGAAATTTATCGAGAGTTTTTGCTCGGTTGTTATCCGTCGCTCTTCATGAGTCTGAGGGCTTTTACGAAATTCATTATGCATTTGGGTTGGTCTAAGGAACAAGCTCCGTTTCTATTTAGGTATAAGAATGATTAATTAGTGCATGTATGAATAAAAACTTTTGATAAGGCTAGGGGACCGCAGGGAAACAGGGTTTTTAAAATACAATACGGCCCGCGAGACATTTTGAAAAATCTAATTAAAAAAAATACACTACTTACTCATAATCACGGAATCAACTTATCCAACATTTCAAGGCTCGGCAAAACAAAAGATTATTGCTTCTCAATTATTCTACACTAGACGATTCTAGATCATTCGTTCATTTTAAGCATATATTTTTTAAATGGTATGAGGGGTCATGTCATACCTTCTTTTAAAGGTCTATTCGCGTTCTATTCGCACATAAATCTTGAAAATATTTGATTCGTCAGTGTTTGAAAGTGAAATGAATGCTTGCAAATTTTTTATTACTTTTCTATTGTTTCAATTGTTCCTAACATTTTGCAAAGTTTTTGAAAGAACTGCACTGCAAACATTTAGAACTTTGTCTTTCTGATCTTCCACTTAATTTGGCTATGTAACATAAATTTTAGATTTCCCCAAAGAAAAAAGTCCCGGGGTATTAGGTCTGGCTAGGTAGCTGGTCATTTAATTCACCAATAAGATTATAATCGATAAATATTGGACCGATAGTACGATTACCAAGTAAATCCGCCCAAACATTTATTTTTTGCGGATATTGTGTTTGACAATCTTGGAAAACATGTCGATTTTCAAAACTTTTGTTTTCTAAAATGCTTACAGGCAATATTTTTGGTCGAATTCTGCGGATTGTTGACAACGGTAGCGCTAATCTCAACCTGTTTCTCTTCTGAAACTTGTTGCTGTTGTTGTTGTTAATAGTGCCACTAGTAAAAAATTTGCTTCTGAGATATTGCCGTCTGATGGGGTTTTCAGGATATCTTTCATTAAAAAATCTAACTCCTTCATGTAAATCACAATAGCTTCAGTTTTTTGCACTAATACCCGCGCGTAAAACACAAGATCCAATTGATACTACCTATTGAACTTACTAATAAAATAAAGAACTTAAAACTACCGACAGAACGTCGGTTAAATACTAAATAGCAACGAATAGAAAAAACTAATGAAATTCGAATTATTAAATTAAATATTGTGACATTGGCAATTCACACACTACCGTACAATGATAATAATCATTATTAAACTGACGAAAATGGCACCCTGCTATCATTTTCACATTTTGAGATATTGTTTTTATGTCAAGAAATAGACATTTTTATAATATACGTGCATGCCAAATTTGACAGTGCTATTTATACAATGGTACAAAAAATAAAAAGGGATAACCTCAATTACGCGGGAACTGTTATGGCTTTGTGTGCATCTTAAGTGCTTACTAATTATAATTTTTTATCGAACGAGAAGTGGACAAATATTATGCGTGGTGGTAAGCCTATATGTTTGCTGTGTAATGAATCCATTATGGGGAAGAAACAATTCACGCTGCACTCACTGACAGGACCAAATAAGAAAAGACAAACAGATAAAGCTAGTTTTATAGTTAGTTCAAAATTGGTAAAGTCATTGAAACCGTTTGCTGAAGAAGAATTTATCAAGAAGGAGTAGTTAGTAGTTTGACTGACCGAATGGGTAGTTGCAAATCCTTTTCCACAGCATTAAATGAGAGCACCAATTTGACTACAACAGCTCAATCGGTTATTTATTTTTTATTTGAGGGGTTGTTACTGGGGCTAAACATCCTTTATGGGCGGATTATATAAAGGTTTCATCGGGATTGAATTAAAAAGCAACTGAATTAAACGTGCAAAAAGCGGATTTGGTAGTCCTTCATTACATTATCTAGCACTTGTCTTCTCAGTCCATTCGATTCCAGAATGTTACGATTCTGACGACGTAACATATTATTGTGTAGTCAGATGGCTAGGGAAGGCTGGCTAAAACGGTATTTACGAGTTTTTAGAAATCACTATCTGAATTAAGTGGCCGAAAACTTAGCATTTCTGGTCGAACTTACAAGAAACTTCAGAAACAGTGACCATTAGTAAATGTGTGCAGCATTTTGAAAGCGTTTCAGAACAAAATCTGGTCGTGAGCACTGGTAAAAGTTAGCATTTTGTCACGATCTCTGCGAAAATATGGCTTATGCCGAACAACTTAAGTTACTATAGGAACAATTTTCGAACAGCGATTTTAAAAACCTGGAAGACTGTTTCAATTTATTTGCTATTCCAACAAAAAGTAGTCTACAAAATGCTCCAATACACTTGAAAATTCAAGAAAACTCACTCCTAAAATCTAAATTTGAAGACGTGGAGTTGTGCTATTTCTGATGAAACTTAATAAACCAACACATTGTACTAGGTTGAGTGACGATAATTTTGAAAATTCTAAATTGCACGATTTAATCATAACGTTGTACCTATTTTTTCATTTTTTTGTTATTTTAATAACGGTTGCCTATAGCTGGTGTAAGGGGCTATTCACGGTACACGATACGAAGTACAAAATACGAAGTTTTCAAAAAGTTTTTCTTTTGAGATATCTAGTTTTCCCAAAAGAGGGAAATGTATCCAAGTTTTGGGAATAAGTGGTAATAGAAAAGGAATTAGTGGTATTAGTCAAAGAATTTGAAATATTAACCGAGGAATTGGTTAAAGAAAACTTTTCCTTGGCGTTAAATTTACCACAGAATTTACTGCATTTATTAATATGTTTTTCTACTCCCGTCTCTAAACTACCTAATTACCCACCGATCTAGCGTGCGGTAAGCGTCACTTTACCACGTCAGTTTCGTTTCCCATGAATCCGAGCGACTTCGGACATTTCCGGGATTTTACTGCACGGATTTGGAAGCAATCGGATGTTTTCGGAGATATTTCCCACGCTTTGAATTTTGGCTTTTGTCAATTCTGACAGTCATGACGAAAATGTACCCAAAAACTGACGGTCGTAGAAAAAGTATAGTATGCAATACGTTCGGTAAAATTTTTAACTCACTCGTTTATTAAACACTCGCTCCGCTCGTGTCAAATAAACTCGTGAGTCAAATGCCGTTTACCGCACTTATTAGTAGAGATATGTATAATATAGGCTTCCCCCACTCCTCTCCCTTTTGTGGGCGTGTCCTCCTTACCCACGACTCTCTAGCTCCTCCGCCTTTACCCATAATCCCTTGAAACTGGCCCCCATTGGATAAGCAACCAGAAATGCGGTTTAATCAATCTCCCCACCTCTAGTTTGCGATGGCGGCGAAGCCAATCAGAGCCCAGATATTTTCCCACCCGTATGAAAAGCAATGGCGTCAATGAGACTTGATCATATTGTTCGCGTGACCATCTGCATCCTCTAGCGGTTCGAATGTAAACTAGTGTCCCCTCTTGGAATAAGATTTTCTTTAATAAGGTAACCCCACCTAGTGAATATTGACCAAAACATTTATTTTAAAAACATATAATTCTGCGAATGTGTACCCTCGCGGGTACAAACTGTACTTTTATTGCGCACAAAGGACAGGGGAAATAAAGACGAAAAGTATTGGATTTCTTTTCTCGGAACTGAAAGCTGGCAGGCACCACCAATAATATCTGCAAAACAAAAACCTGGTTAAAATTTTCATTAATAAAGTAGGATATTAGAAACCATATACATTATTAATTTACTAAGCCATCTACCGTGCGTTAAATTCATACATATTTCCGAATGCTTCTGTTTTAAGGTATCGTGAGATATTTGACTATTTATCTGGGAAAAGTTCATATGTCGAAAATATTATGTGTATGTGGCCGTGGTAGGCTTTCTTTGCTATTATAATTTTATTTTTATTATTTAATATTTACAAAATTAATTTATCTATCTTATTGATAATTTTGATTTTCTTTGCTATTTTATTATTTGTTTTTATTATTTAATATTTTCAAAATTAATTTATCTATCTTATTGATGATTTTAAGATATCGCAGTCAACTTTACTATTTCATCAATTTCTTTTATTTATTGCTGATCTTGGAGGATAGTGTACATACTTTTTTTTTCGTAACTTATCTGTATCTACCCTTTAATTTCCTATCAAGCCATAAAGCAAACTCGAAAGGCATTTTAACTAAAAAGTCACATACTTTAAAGCTGCTGCTACTACTACATGAAAGTGTGTTTCTATGGCAATTTCAACAACAATGAAATCTGGACGCTTATACTAAATACTGTAATACTCTTCTCTGCTAACGCTCTAGGAGACGCTATTTGAACCCTGTTCAAAGAAAAACTTCTACAGCCCAAATAACCTCTCTGAACCACACTTAAGCGCATCACTCTTTCACTGTCTTGCAGCCTTTAGATTAATATTCCGTACTAACTACGAATGCCATACACGAAACGTTCTCTTTCTAATTTTTTTCTATGCGTTACATTAACGAACAGGATCTAAACTTTTCTGTCTGTGTATTTTGTTAGCCACCTTAAAAAAAATAAAAAAAGGTATGCGAACCTAGAGGATATTTTCCATATTTTTCACAAATGGTGACAACAATTAATGCAAGTATTATTTTTAATAATAATCCATCTTTCGCTATGACACGAAAACATCGATTTTTTAATTCTAACTTTTCTCATAGAGCTTCCCTTTAGTCTCTATCTGTTCTTTAACTAAATCCCCGCCTTTTTGAAAAACCAACCTCTAAAAATAGTTAATTTTCTCTAATTTAAATTTGTACGTTTTACGCAATATGTGTGAATATTTTTGCTAGAGCATTTAGTTACTTAGTACATGTCCTAATCAATATTTTAAAAATATAATTCTAATGATACGTGTTTACGATTTGAAGATAACGAAACATTCCCCAGTTTTATAAATGAGAGCTCACCGCCAAACTACCAAACATCACAGTACAAGCTACCGTACTACGCCCCCCTGGACAAAATCAGGTTAGTCAGCGTCATTAATTCTACCTGCGTTAACGAATAGCGTATTTTTAATTAAGGTTTAATACGCAGAAAGTTTAAGTAACAAATAATTGCAATGAAACTCACTAACATC